TTACGATTTTGACCGGTTATTTCAGTAATTTTTCTGTCAAAACAACAACTTATAATGTTAAGCTTGGCAGAGCTTGGATTAAATATTCATGTTTTAGATAGAAGGAAATATTATATCGACAGTATTCGATTGAATATGGATCTTTATTCGTATTTATCCAAGCCGATGCATGCACACCTCTCAAATTAAAACATTATTTACTCTATAAGCTTGCATCAACAATCCCAGTTTGAATTATTCAGTCATATTTCTTATTATTATCTGATCATGACCTTTATTTAGGTCAGTATTTTTCTTGACGTCACTTTGTCCCAGTCTATATTTTTCTTATTATCAGATGATTGGGACGCCACTTATATATTACTATTAAACTTCAATCTTGAGAGGATAAATTCAAGAACATGATTGAGTCACTTCGCGCTAGTGAGTTTAAATTATTGGTCGAGGCACAATTGACTTAGGCTCTTGGATCTTTATTATATTTCTCTAATCAATGTTTATGCAATTGTTTTAATTGAGTGCACCCACTTGGAGATTACTTCATTAAATGCTGGCACGATCTTTCTCCTTAAAAATGCTTCATCGAGCTGAAGATTCTTCTATCCATATGATGACTCGATCAAATGAATTTGGAGAGACGTGATCCTAACAAAAGGATCACACCTCAATCCGAGATAAAAATGAAGACAGGTTCAGAGAGTTGCGATCCTGGCAAAAGGATCACACCCTAATCTGAGATAAAGATCCAAGATAAAAATGAAGACGAATTTGGAGAGATGTGATCCTGGCAAAAGGATTCACACCCTAATCCGAGATAAAGATGAAGACGAATTTGAAGATATCTGATCCTGGCAAAAGGAATCACACCCCAATTCGAGATAAAGATCCAAGATAAAGATGAAGACAGATTTGGAGAGATGTGATCCTAGCAAAATGATTTACACCCCAATCCAAGATAAAGATGAAGACAGATTTGGAGAGATGTGATCCTAATAAAATGATTCACACCCCAACCCGAGATAAAAATGAAGACAGATTTAGAGAGATGCAATCATGAAAAAATGATTCACACCATAATCCGAGATAAAAATGGAACTCGGGCAAGAAGTCGAGTTAAATATTATGAAAGCACGGTATACAAAGCCGAGTTAGAAAATAAAAAGGGAATAACCACCTTCATACACTTAAAACTTGCAAGTCAACTTGATAAAGCCACTGCGAAAGAAGCAGGGGCTCAGATAAGAAAGCCACTACAAAAGAAGCAGGAGATCAGATAAGAAAGCCACTGCAAAAAAAGTAAGGGCTTAGATATAAAAGCCACCGCAAAAGAAGTGAGAGTCAAATTTAAAAGCCACAGTATGCTAAGCCGGGTTGAAGAAGGTGAATACTGCCCTTATAAACAAGGCTGGCAAAAAAAAAGCCAAAGTACCAAATAGAAGCCACGAAAAAAGAAGCCGGGCTTAAATAAAAGAGCAACCATAAGAGAAGCGAGGCTTAAATCAAATAAAAAGGACATGGCCAAAGAAGTCGGCCTTAGATTATAAAGTCATTGCCAAAGAAGAAGGGCTCAGATAAAAATGTGTGAACCACAGTACAAAACTGGTTCAATAAAAAGCGCATTACATAATCAGGATATTATATCTGGTTTAAGGAGAACAGAGGGATGTCTTTGTGATCCAATGACTTTTAAGTCAGTATATGAAAGCTATGGTGAATGAAACCAAAGCTAAAAAGGCAGATTAAAATAACTCTGATCAAATTCTCATGATGCCTAAGTTAAAACTTCGGCAAGAAGCCGGGTTGATTATTATAAAACTACGGTAAATGAAACGAGTTAAAAGAAGAAGTGGAGCCCGCATAATAAAATAAGACCTTGGCTAGGTCGTTTTTCTTCAGAAGACGCTAAAAAGCTAACCTGAATCAGTAAAGCCACGATGCAAGAAGCCGAGATCAAAACGAAAGCCTCGGAAAGAGAAGCCGAGCACGATGTTAAAAGAAGGCAAACACTGCCTCGCCAAACTTAAAAGCTTCAGGTGAAAAGAAGCCAAGATACTTGCGCCGAAGTCCAAATTTTGAAATCCACCCGAAAATGGGCTGAGAAAAAAGAGGAACGTAGTACCTCCATTAATTATCAACAAATAAGCCAGGCTTAAATAAACTTAAGATGCATCCACTAACAGAAGAAATCGGCAAGAAGCCGAGTTTAAAAGACAGAAGGCAAAAGCTAATTCAAATTAATGCCGTCTATAAAAGGAGTTGAAATTAGATAAGAAACCCATGGCAAACATCGCCTGGTTCAAAGCTTAAACATTATAGCAAAATAAGTCAAATACAAAAGCGACTACAAGCGAAGAAAGCTGCTTCAATAAAGATGCCAAGTCAAGATCAATGCAAGAATTCGACTTTGTCAAATTGAATAAAACATGCAAGGAAAATTCAAACTACCCAAACAAAAAAGGTTCGGGAACAAACTTGACAGTGTCTACTATAAATTAAAGGGAAATTGTTTTCTCCAACTGTAAGAGATAACTATCTCATGTCGCAGAAACATAAAAAGACGTGCTTGTAATTTCTTTTCTTTTTTATTTTTCTTTAATTTGTGAACTCCACATTTCTTATCAGTGTTGAAATTTTTTTTTCTCTCATGTTAAATGGGAGAAGTATTACCCTAAATTAAAAATGGCCCAAATCAGGGAAAAACAATGTGCAAAATAAGTCAGTATTCCAACACAGCTACTCGTCCAAAATCCTAGGAACTAGGAGAGCTCGGTGGCATTTGAGCTACGAGAGGCTTGATAACTCGTTTTTTAAAATATTAACATTATCACCGGTTTTAACAAGCGAAATTCATTATTTTGTGATGGGCATTATATATGTGCCCCATAATCTATACCTTTTAATTTAAAATAAAAAAAATAAGTAACAATAAAGGGTCTATTATAGTAACAAATTAAGTTTTATTAAAATTGTCCATCAAATATAGACTAGGAAAATTGAGGGTGTTTCAAAGCATTTATAACTATAAAGTAAGAAATATTTACTATTTTAATTTTTTTTTATAAAAAATATCGTTTTATTTTATTAATGGATATCATAAAACTTTTAGTCCGGATCAAACAATTAATAATACAATAATCTCCAAAAATAAAAATTAATAATACAAAAAATTGTCATGTGATTCAACCACTTATTTTATTTTTTGATTTTTCCTGATAAATATTTTGTGGAACTAAGATTCAACCTCAAACCAGTTATCCTCATTTGTTTTCTCCTTAACTTTAATAATTTAATTTTGTCAGGAAACCAATATTGAGGTTGTTAGTCACTCACTAAAAGCAAGTCCGCACTAAATATAAAGCAATAATCATTCATAATTTTTTTAAGTTTATTAATCTAATCCAGAGATTTATTTAAAATTATTAGCCAAAAGTGAAGATATATAATCACTCAACAAAAAAATAACATCTATTTGTGAGTTTTTTAATTTCAAATATTTAATATATAATTTCATTTAAAATTGTTAACTACTTCATAAAAGCAAAAAATAACATAAAAAAAAATTAGTTATTACAAATTTTTAATAAAGATATTTCTATGTATTAAATAAAACAATATATTTTTTTATTGAAAAATTATATAATCGATTTAATAATTCAAATTTTTTATGTCCTTTAAAATTAACTATTATTGTACTAGTCAGCTTACCCAAAATAAAAAATAAAAAATTGTACTAGTCATTTATTTTCCGAAATATATATGCTAGAAAGAAAAGTTTATCTATTAAAAACATTCAACAAATAAGGACAGAATTATTTTTAAGTATTTTAAGTTCATGTCTTTTCATTTAGGTATTTATTTTTTTCTTGATCGTTTCATTCAAGTGTTATTATTTGACATATGTAAACATATTTTTAAAATTATCTCTCGATTAATCACTAAAAAAGTCGAAAAATATTTCTAGAGAATTATTTCATATAAGATTGTGGTTGATATAAATTTTATTGCAACAATTACTGTTCGAAACAAGATAATCATATTTTTTATTATGGTTATTCAATTATAATTTATGATGAAGCTCTTAAAGTAAGGAGTATTTACAATAATTTTCTAAAGAATATACTGTGAACACTATAGTTTGTAAAGAAACGACAAATTGGTAGGGTTTTTTTTTTTCAGTAGATTATAAAAATGAAATTGAAGACTATAAGTTAGTCAATGAATTGTGAGATTGTAAAAAGGAATCAATCAAATTATCATAAAGTCCAAGATCTGATTGGGGAGAGAGCAAACATCCTACTCAAGTGGAGAGCATAATAGAATAATGAAGTTTTTTTTTTTTTTTTTTTTTTTATGTTGGATACATATAATGAAAATTTTAACTTCAGACAAAGTGAGCTAGTTAGGATTATGAAAAAGAAATTAATTTCTACTGTCATAGTTAATATTTATAATATAGAGGAAAGATATTGTGACAACCAAGTTGTATTACTACCAAGTGACTACCAATCAATCTTACTGTTAGATCGATTATATTGATCCAACGGTTATATTTATTTCCATCTTTGTATGGTCATGATTCCCCAAATTTAATACTTTATATTTATTTTCACCTTTGTATGGTTATAATTTCCCATATTTAATGCTTTCACTTTAAATATGGGGAATTATGACCATACAAAGATGAAAATAAATATAACCGTTGGATCAACATAATCGATCTAATGGTGAGATTGATTGGTAGTCACTGACACAACTTGGTTGTCACAATATCCTATAATATACAGTGTCGTCAAATATTTTATAAAATATTAACATTACCATTAATGTTTCTCGGTCATTTTCACGTTTATAGTTGTTTGACGGCATAGATATCGCCTATGATTTGAATCCTTCCTCGTATATATATATATATATATATATATATATATATATATATATATATATATATATAAGTACAGCAGTTAATGAAAGAGGAGCAAAGACAACAAAGAGAAGATACATAAGATGGCGGCAAGTAGCAGTTCTGATGGTACAGGAACACCTCTATTAGGGGCAACTCATGATGATGGAAAAGAAAACACTACACCCCAAGTTGGAGGATGGTGGAACAAAGTCCTTGACATGGAGGAAGCCAAGCAACAACTCATGTTTTCGCTCCCAATGATTCTTACCAACTTATTCTATTACTTAATCACTTTGGTTTCTGTCATGCTTGTTGGTCACCTTGGTGAGCTTCAACTTGCTGGTGCTACTTTGGCTAATTCATGGTTCAGTGTCACTGGCGTGGCAGTCATGGTAATTACTCTCTCTTGCTTGGAGCCATATGTCAAAACATGTCTTATTGTTGTTTCCTTTTTGATATGCACAAGCTTAGGAATTTGTTTATGTATGACAAATGCCTGAAACTGAATTGAATTTATGATTATGTTTGTCCACTGCCATATATAGGTGATAAAACATATCTATATCTATATTAATTGTTGCTCTGTTGCTAGTTTCAAAGTAAATTTTTGAAAGCCAATATAACAATAGCCTCATTAATGTTTAATGTTAGAGATATAATATAATACTATTAATATGTGTTTACCTAATAGCTTAAGCTTGTGAGAGAGTCCTTTCGTAACATAATATTAGAGCCTTTATGACACTTTCTATTATAAGTAAGTACCATTTAGGAACTTACATCTCATCTGATGTAGCGGAGATTAACTAGTTATTGTATCTGATCTGATCTCTATTTGTAAACCTGAATTATGGCTTCGTTTACCATGTGCTTAGTCAATGTTAGTGCAAATTTAACTACATAACATTGTATCGGAGCTCTTTGAATTGAATGCAACAATAGTAAATGTTCTTACATGTTTAGACTTTATGTTCTTTCCCTTATTCTTGTCTTAGGTTGGTTTAAGTGGGGCACTGGAAACACTCTGTGGGCAAGGATTTGGCGCAAAGGAATACCATATTCTAGGAATTTATCTACAAGCCTCTAGCATCATATCTCTTATCTTCTCTATCATTATATCCATTATTTGGTTCTATACAGAACACATCCTAGTGTTGCTTCATCAATCTCATGACATTGCCAAAACTGCTGCCCTTTATATGAAGTTTCTAGTCCCAGGATTATTCGCATATAGCATCTTGCAAAATATCTTAAGGTTTCTCCAGACACAATCTGTGGTATTACCATTGGTTGTGCTCTCAGGAGTTCCAGTGTTGGTTCATATTGGTATTGCATATGGCTTGGTTCAGTGGACAGGTCTGAGTTTTACAGGTGCACCAATTGCAGCTTCTATTTCACTATGGATATCAATGATATTGTTGGCCTTGTATGTCATGTATGCAAAGAAGTTCAAGCAGACATGGGAAGGATTTTCAATGCATTCATTACATTACGTGTTCACAAACATGAAACTAGCTCTGCCCTCTGCAGCAATGGTATGGTATGAGTCACTAAAAACTTTTTCACTTTGCTAACCCCTTTTGACTATTGATCTTTCGAAACTAAATGAGTAGCAGTAGCCTCATTTGCTAAAAGTATAGCATCAAGATTGAACACTATGTGCAATTCAAATTAAGAGAATATAAGTGTAAGATCCTTATATCATGAACCTTACTATATGTTTATATTATGCTAGTTTGGAGTATTGGGCTTTCGAAGTTTTGGTTTTCTTAGCTGGACTATTGCCTGACTCACAGATGACCACTTCGTTGATTGCAATATGGTAAGGTTCCAATAGCTTTATATTTCTGTTCCTGAAATGAAAATAGAAATTCATATAATTCATTGTTGTTAATCTTTACAAGAAAATCTGCAGTGCAAACACAGAATTCATTGCTTATATGATCACTTATGGTCTCAGTGCGGCTGCAAGGTTAGTTGGTTTAACATATTCTCTGCTTTGATTACATTGTTGCATATCTTATGAATCTCCATTCTAGTATATGTATTGAAAGGTTGAAATTTAACTTTGATAGCACAAGGGTTTCCAATGAATTGGGAGCAGGCCACCCAGAACGAGCTAAACATGCAATGGATGTCACTCTCAAGCTCTCTCTCCTCCTTGGTTTGTGTTTTGTTTTGGCACTTGGATTTGGTCATAATATTTGGATTAAACTCTTTAGTAGTAGTTCTAAAATCAAAGAGGAGTTTGCTTCAGTGACACCCTTACTTGCAATTTCCATACTACTAGATGCTGTCCAAGGTGTCTTGTCAGGTTTGAATCCCTCATTTTCCTTTAACATGTGCTGTTTCTGTAACTTGATTATTAACTTAAAATACTTAGGAAGAAATTTTTTAACACTGCAGGGGTGGCCAGAGGATGTGGCTGGCAGCATTTGGCTGTTTATGTAAACCTTGCAACTTTTTATCTTATTGGTTTACCAATATCATGTTTCCTTGGATTTAAGACCAATTTGCAGTATAAGGTATAATATTTATAGCACCTTCTGGTTATGTTTGTTCTGTTGCCAACAAGAATCATCTTGATTCTGTGGAGCAATCAAAAACATTTTCATTCATTAGTTTAATCATTTTTTTTTTCTTCTTCTTTTGAATTTGCTATATGATATAGGGTTTATGGATTGGTCTGATTTGTGGGCTGGTCTGTCAAGCTGGGACTCTCTTAGTTTTAACAAGGCGTGCCAAATGGACTAAACTGAAACTGTCTGGGGACAAAGACAAAGACCAACCACTTGTTTAACTGAATGCTTTCCAAACTAGAACTGAATGAAACAAACAGAGTTCACATGTGGACTGCATTTCAAGATGCAAAAGATGATAACAATTGGTGAACATGATTTTTGTATCTAAAACATTTCTTGCTTATATTCATTGAGAAAGTTGCAAACCTAGACACTAAATATTGACATATATATTATAACAAACTCTCCAACTAGGTGGTTTTGTTTTCATTGTATGCAGGGGTGGCAAAAAGGTCCAACCCGTCAGGTTGCGAGTTTAACTCGCCACAAATGGCGTGTTCTTGTAATTTAATATTTTCCTAGAAAAAATAAAAAACAAAACATTTTATTTATAATAAAAGTTATCCATATATTAGGAGTGTTTGCGGTCTGGATTGGAAGCAAAAATCATCCGATTCAATTCTTTCGGTTTGATCATATAATCATCCATTCGGTTTGGATTTTTTTTCAAATCTCATCCGATCCAATCCAATTTTTTTCGGTTTGAATTGGATCGATTTTTGATTTTTTGAAAATCCTAAAATTTATTTCATGATTATTGTGCAAATAACATCTTTTGTATATATTGATTTTGCAAATTTTTTTTTGAAATACAAAGCATTAGTAAACTATAATATTGTTTTTTTTTTGGCAATGAGATATGAAGCTCTGCAAAGATAAAATTTTGTTGATGAGATGTGACTAGATTTTTTCTTGGTTTAGTTGATGGGTTAATGGTCTTGTGTTTAGAAATTTTTGGGCTATAATTGAGGAAAGACCCAATTAGGTAGAGGGGAATTAATATATTGGATCAGTTTGGATTTGATCGATTTTCATCAACCCATCCAAAAACCGATCCAATCCAATTAAAATTTGCGGTTTTTTTTTTAGTTTTCGATTTTCGGTTTATTCGGTTATCGGTTTTTCGGTTTGGTCACCGCGATTTGAATCGGTTTGGATCGGTTGATGAATACCCCTACCATATATGGTGTCAAAAAAGAATTACTAAAGACTATCAACCTGAATATTAACATACATTTGGATTTGAGATTGAAAAAAATTAAGGAAAGTGTGAAATAAATTTGAATAATAATATAAAATTTATAAAATATTTTTTTTTAACTTTTCAATTTTTAAAATTCGCCAACCCATTATAAAACTTGATGGGTTGATATTTTCAACCTATTTTCAAGAAGTGGGCCAACCCAAACCATATTTTGGAAATTACATAAATGTGAATCATTTCTAAATGTGACATTACTAGAAAAGTCCAGATATCGACAAAATATATCGACGAAAAATATTTTGATGAAAATAGTGATAGATTTTTTGACGAAAATCATATTTTATAAAAAATAGAGACAAAACAAGATTTGGCGATGGAAATTTTTTACAGAAAAAATTCTACCGAAAGTTTGTACGAAAAATTTTTTTATCTAAATTTTTTATCTAAATTTTTTACAAGTTTCGAAGGAACATTTTTTGTACAAAATTTCCAGGGAAATTTTTTTTTGTTGAAAATTTTCGACCGAATTTTTCTCTGTCAAACATTTTTCACGGAATATTTTTCTGTCAAAATTTTTGAAAAAATATGTCATCAATTTGCGTGAAATTTTTTGACAAAATTTGTTATTGTCAAAAATTTGTACGAAAATTGTTTTTCAATCAAAATTTTTTGACAGAATTTTTTTCGTCGAAAATTTTGAAAAAATATATGTCATCAATCCACGTGAAACCTAATCCCATGTCATCAATCTATGAGAAAATTTTCGACTAAATTCGTTAAATAAATATTATGTTAATGCTTTATTTTTTGACCGAAAAGTAAGATTTTCAACATATTATTTTCCGTCGAAAATTTTGAAGTAAATTTATTTTCGTCAAAAATTTTGACGGATACTAAATTATGTCGACTCTGGATGAAGCACATTCAACAAAAAAATTCGTTGAAAAAGTATATTTTGACGAAAATTTCATCACTTGCAACGGAAAAATTGTCAAAAATATGATATTTTTTAGTAGTGTGAAAAGTACATAATTTTTTTTTAAAAATTTTAAATTTAATTTAACTTTTAAAATATAATAATGTTATTAATTTTCCTAAAAGGGAAAAAATTATAAAAATATCTCATTAACCCTTCTTTTTTTTCTCCCTTATCATATTTTTAACTCCGAAACAAAGGAAATGAATACTATTCATTTTCCTTTCCTTCCTTCCCTTCCATTTCACTTCCAAACTCCCAAACAAAGCCTAAGTGGGTAGGCATAATACCTCTCACAAAAATCGTCATGTGCTAATCCAATTCCATACACAATAAATAAGTTTTGCATAACTCTAAACTAGATTTATTTTATTTTATTTTTTCTTTCTAATTGCGTCAGTGAGCCCAAATACTGTAATTTTGAAAATGTAAACATATCATAAAATTTATAATATCTTTCTAAATTATTCCTTAATTTTAACAAAAAATTAGTATAAGTGTTATACAATAACAAGCCAGCCAACTTTTGTTTGTTATCTTTGACCTATAAAAATAGTTAAATATCTAACATTGTAATTTTTTTCAATCGAAAGGGGCAAGGCTCCAACAAGGAAAAGAAAAACAAAAACATGCACAGAACAACCAACGCAAAATAAAATTAACAACATTGTTAACAGAGATGAGGTGTCTGTAGCTCAAATGCGATCATCAACAATGAAGGATCTAATTTCTTCTGGCATGAGATGGAAGGTATGTAATCCTTGTTTCCTACGAACCGTTGAACCTGCCAACCAATCTGTACAAGAGTTATTTTCCATGATAGTGTGTGCAAACCGAATTGACCAATTGTAATTGAGGAGAGCTCGAATCTTAGCAAGCAAACTTGCTCACGAGTAGTATTACCCCCTGGGGTAAGTAATGCAAGAGCATGTTTTGAATCACTTTCCACTACCACATTCCTTCAACCAAGCTGCCACACATATTACAAACCTTTTAGAATAGCCCAAAGTTATGTCTGAAGGGGATTACAAATGGCAATGAAGTGGGAAAAACCCCTTGCCAATCACCACCATAATCTCTCACAAGACCACCGTATCTAGCCAAATTAGCTCGAACAGCTCCGTCCATATTCAATTTCATCCAACCCGTGAGAGGCTTGCTCCAACCGAGTTGTAGAGCTCTGAAATCATAGGGTAACTCAGGATTCGGTCTAGGGAGGTAAGCTGCTACAAATTCATTGACTAAACCCAGAATATGGTTAATAGTGGGTTCACTCTCTGGAAATCTGGGTTATGAATTTTCTCCAAATCCAGAGGCACTAGATTGTAATACAAAAATGATTTTTCCAAACAACACTAGAGGTCATATCCTTGCATAGATTATAAGAGAGTCATGTTTTTATATCATGAATGGAATAGAACTCCAAAGGTAAGGGCTGCATCTCCTCGGTTTGCCAAACTGATCTTGCATCTCAGCAATCACGCAACACATGAAGCAAGGACTCCACTTTATTAAGACACACATGACATCTATCAGAACCACTCCCCCATTTACTCGTACGATTATTGGTAAGGGAATTTCCACAAGCACTAGTCCAAATGAAGGTTTTGATCCTCTCTGGGCGATTCCAATTCCAATTCTTAGACCAGGTAAAGGAAGAGTCTTCATCAGGGAATCACATAATACCCTTATAGGGAGTGCTAACTATGAACTTGTATTGGTTTTGATCCCTCCAATTTAGTTGATAATTCTTGTAAGCCTTAGAAGGGGTTGGGATAACACTAATGCTGTTTGTAACACCCCATTCTAGACTGGTTTGTTAACACCAGAATGATATAAGCGCAGCTAATTAGTCAAATAAATACTGAAGCTAATTATATTAATTCATAATTAATCTTGTATAAGAACGTGACTAAACTTTTTCCATTCTATATTAATTTCTAACAATTACTTGCATGTCAAGTTAAGTACATTCTATATTACTTTTTCTTCTAATTATCTTATTTATAACTTACATACATGATTAATTACACATTTCATGAACTTTATCTTACTAGAGTACATCCTTAAGCTTAATGTCCCATCTTAAAATATACAAGTCTTGATATCTATATTATCAAATTACAATTATACTTGTCATAATTGACCATACTTAGCACTCTATTACTTATATTACACATTTCATGCAACCAATTTCTTTCATTACCTAATTAACCCTAACATAGGATCACATAGTACGATTTCTAGCTCAATGCATTTATACTAGTCATACATACATACATACATACATACATACATACATACATACATACATACATTATATTGCTTAGCACCTCATGGCATAGGCTATCATATACATGCCATTGTCTTAACTAATAATCAACCTAGTCAACATGTCATAACATCATATGACCAAATAATGCAATTACTCCATGCTCAAATGTACTTACTTATGTATGCTCTCAAATAAACAATAAACAAGATTATTTACTCATGGCATAGACAACCCCCATGCCCATCACAAATATAAACATAACACAAGTATGATAAATAGTAATCATGTCTCATAGAAGTATCCAATAACAGTAATGCATGTCTCATGTCATGTTAAAATCTCTACGCCGACCTCTTGCCTCGAGATACATCAACATCATGTAATTAACACATGAAAATATGTCCCCACACGGGGTGAGATAACAATCTCAGTAAACTAGGGGTTCTCAAAGGATTACTCTGCCCCCAAGTTCACTTTTCAGCATAATAATTATAAAATAGTATAATCGTAACAAAATAACGTATCCTCATAAAATAATATAATGCAGTATATATCATGTGATGTGTACAATAACAATTCTAATGGGCAGAGAATAATGTACGCATTATGCAACGTACCCAAAACATAAGGATTCCCCTTATGACCTACACTCAGGCATCACCATCTCATGTAGGTAAACACCATCACATCCATATATCAACATATTATATCACAAGTTCAATTCCAAATCATACCACATATATATAAGCGGATATCTCAATTTAACAAAATAATATATATATATATATATATATATATATATATATATATATATATATATATGAAAATAAACCATCCTCCTGTAGAGTTTGGTGGAACAAACAGGGAATTAACCCTGAGAACCGAAAACTTATCTGTTGCCGATATGTCCTCCAACAAAACCTTGGTGTCCAGACGATCACCAACACGATATCCAATAGTATCACAACCTATTTTCACAGTTCATAGACAATTAATATATATATTATAGTCTATAATATGTAAAAAGACTCTATCTCATTCCCAACTATCACACTTAAGGCTTTCTCCAAAGCCATTAGTGTAATTATTCAAGTTATACCTTACATTCGTTTCACAATGGCCCATACTTATTTCTTAAGATTTGATAACCTTAACACACCACTTAGTATTACAATAGAGTCAACAAATCATTTCCTTAAGGACCAATCCGAAAGAACTGACTCTATTGGCGAATTCGACGCTAAACTATGTTTACCATTTTACAACTGGTATTGCAACTCTTTACAAAAAATTCTAATATTTTACTATGTTAAATTAGACCTCTCAAGCTTTCTAACGACATATTATATGTCGTCTTTCGCAAACTGACTGCTGCAAACCAGACTTTCAAAAATTGGGCAGCGAATTTAAACTCTAACTACGATTGATACACTTATCCAATAGCTTTGAGATTTTATAGGATTATATCCCTATGTGTTATCTTTACATAGGTTCAAACCTCACTCAATTTGGAGCTCCGTAGCTCGAGATACTGCCATTTTACTAAACCATGTTTTTGCTGCACTAAGGAGTCGAATCCTTTTCGAGAAGGATTTGAATGCTTACTGATAGAAGCTAAAATTCATCATTTTAACAGTAGAGATTCAAATGCACTTCGAAAGAATTTAAATCCCACTTCGATAGAGGCCAAAACAATAGCTTCTTTTGTTGCACAATGGTCTTCTTAGGCCTCTACTATGCTCACATGACCTTTTAATCAATATTCCAACATGTTCTCAATATATTATCAACTATTAAAGCTTAGGTTACCAAATCCCTACTTTTACATCATTTACACATGCCCTTTCCAAGAAAATCTAAGGGGAAAGTGTTGGGTATTTACCTAGAACTTTAAAATAGAAAAAGGAAAGGATTTTCCTTTCTTTCTTCTCATGATCTTTCCTTGTGCAGCAAGGAGCACGAAAATGGAGTGACAAGATTGGTTCTTTCTCACCCAAAGGTTGGTTCTTTCTCACCAAGATGCCTTACCCAAGCAAGAATAGGGTCTCCAAGCTTCTAACAATGTCAAACTCCACCTTTGAGTCCTCTAACTTGAAATTAAAGCACTTAAGATGATATTTTTCTCACTAACACTCAAGGTTATATGTTGTTTCCATAGTAGGTTAAAGAAAGGTGGTGAGTGGTGAGTGTTTTTGGCTTACTTCAAGAGAGAAAATGAAACTATGGAGGGTGAGATGGAGAGACTATGGTAGGGTTAGAGAAATGAAGAAAGAAGAACATATGAGAGGCTAAAGGTTGTCTTTAGGTTATTTGACTTAACTTGGGCTCCAAGTAAGAATTCCCCTTCATTAACTCTCACTAATTCACTTATTTCCATCATCCTCATGAATTTTCTTATCAAAGATAATTTTAAACTATTAAAATGTTATTGAATAATAATTATTAATATATCACTAGATTTTTGGTAATTTTGCTCACAACATCTTTTATCGCGACATAACAATATTTTCACTTTCACAATAAAAGTGATTTAATTTTAAATAATTAGAATTCCCTACTAATATTAATATAAATATTTTATAGTCATTTTAACTCCATAAAATTTATGGAGTAATAATCACTAATTATCTTTAACTTTCGGGTGATTTTGTCCATTGTATTTTTACTTCGAAACACTCATTAATTACCCTTTTCTCAAAACGGTGATTTAGTTCAACTAATTAAATTTCCCATCTAATTATTCTTATTTAATTATTATTTAATTTCTAAAATTTTCATTTAACGTTGCGATTTCTTACATTGTAATCACATCTCCATCAAGGTATTCATGCAAAAAAGAAACATTGTAAATTTTCTTGTTTATAAAGACCTATGACAAAATAATAAATTGAATTAAAAAATTATAATAAATTATTAAAATAACTTTTTTTGGTAAGTAAATAAAATTTAAATATGATATAAGCCCTATTATTATTCACCGATTGTAATGCTAAATCCCATTATTTTTATATCTAAAGACGGTTTATTAAAGAATTGTTGGCTAGTTAAATTCCGGAATTTGACTTATTTAAATAATAATAGATTTGATTTTTAAAAATTACAACTCTTGACAAATATAAAGAGATTTAAATTCAAAATTGAATTAGTCCACTATGTAAAACATAGTTACGCTTAATGGTGCAATTTATGGGTTCTTATCCTATGACTTTGCTAGAAAATTATGATTTTCTTTCCTTTAACCAGATATAAAACATTTAACGCCGTTGAAGAGTAAAACCCCAAGCCATTCCTCATGCTACTTCGACAACAATTCGGGGTGCAGATTTTGAGATCTGTTGTAGTTTGAGCATTGGAGCACTATCACATCACTGGCCCAGAGATGTCACTTACAAGTGATAAATAAATGGATAGGCTCTTTTTTTAATGAGTTTAGTTTTTTTTTAAGAAGTTTAACGTTTCTCATAAATAAATTTATTTTTTATACACTTATAAAAATAAAGAATTCATGTGAATCTTATAATTTATAGTGTTCAACAAGCAAGAATTCATGTGAATCTTATAATTTATAGTGTTCAACAAGCAATCAATATTTTACCATCAAGGATATAATACTCTTTGTAGTGGCGGTGCCACATAAGAAGAAAAAAAAAAAAATTCACATACTTTTATATATTTATAAAAAATAAATTTATCTCTTACTGCATGACAAATATTAAACTTTTTTAATTTAATATAACTTTATATTGATTTTCTCCGATACCAATCCGCATGTTTCACGAGGTATTAGAAAGTTTGTGAATCACTGTCATCACACGTGGAGGGTAGCTAGAATCATGCGATGTCATAAAGTTCGATTGTTTTGTTTCATGGTCCATATTCACCGATCTTTTAGGCGCTGTTTATATGAATATTGTTGAGCAGAGGAAAGAGAAGCAAACAAAAGATAGAATATGTCGACAAGTAGGAGGAGTTCAGATGAGAAAGTAACAACAAAGTTCACACCTCTATTAGATGTAACTCACCATGAAGAGGGACAAGAAGGAGAAAAAACAAGACCCCAAGTTGAGGGATGGTGGAACAAAGTCCTGGACTTGGAGGAGGCCAAGCATCAACTCTTGTTTTCACTTCCAATGATTCTTACCAACTTATTCTATTACTTGATCACTTTGGTTTCTGTAATGCTCGCTGGCCACCTTGGCGAGCTTCAGCTTGCTGGTGCTACTTTGGCTAACTCATGGTTCAGTGTCACTGGCATAGCTGTCATGGTAATTCCTGTCTTTTCCTTGATTTTTATAGCCAACAAGATGTTTTAACACTTATCGCTCTTTTATAGGAAAAAAACGCACACTGATATATATTTATGTGCAGGATATTCTTAGTCCCGGTACAAAAATAAGAAGTTTTGTGTCAGAACCGTTAGATATAAATAAGACCAACTATTAAGATAAAGAATATAACTTACACTGGTATGTAATTTACATCGGTGTTAAATGATCTTGATCCATATATATATATATATCATTGTTATGCATGCTTAGGAATTTGATTGAAAGATGGTGAGGGCTAAAAGCTGAAACTAATATATATGTGAGTCAATGATGCAATTTATTGGGCTAAATGTCAATTATTGTTTCTCTCTATATCTATGTCTGTGCAAATTTAACATGTGATATGTAACATTGCCTCAAAACTAGCTGAATTGAATGCAATGGGATTAAGTATATATTCTTACAAGATCAAACTCCTCCTTCTTTCCCTTGTTTTAGGTTGGTTTAAGTGGGGCACTGGAAACACTTTGTGGACAAGGATTCGGTGCAAAAGAGTACCGGGTGTTGGGAATTTATCTGCAAGCATCTTGCATCATATCTCTTATCTTCTCTATCATTATATCCATTATTTGGTTCTATACAGAACACATCCTAGTGTTGCTTCATCAATCTCATGACATTGCCAAAACTGCTGCCCTTTATACCAAGTTTCTAGTCCCCGGAATATTTGCATATGGCATCTTGCAAAATATCTTGAGGTTTCTTCAAACACAATCTGTTGTAACTCCATTGGTGGTCTTCTCAGCTATTCCACTTTTGGTTCATATTCTTATTGCATATGCCTTGATTCACTGGACAGATCTCAGCTTTAAAGGTGCTCCAATTGCAGCTTCTATTTCATTATGGATATCCATACCATTGTTGGCCTATTATGTTATGTATGCAAAGAAGTTCAAGCAGACATGGGAAGGATTTTCAATGCATTCATTCCATTACATATTCACAAACTTGAAACTAGCTTTGCCCTCTGCAGCAATGGTATGGTATGAGTCACTAACAACCTTTCACTTTGCTAGCCCCTTCTGATGATTGATCTTACAAACAAATATTCTAGATTGAACTCTATCTGCAATTCAACAATAGAGAATATTGTTGAAATTTGATCAACTTATCTCATGAATCTTACAATCTGTTTTTAAATTATGCAAGTTTGGAATATTGGGCTTTCGAGATTATGGTTTTCTTAGCTGGAATTTTGCCTAACCCAGAAATAACTACTTCCTTGATTGCAATATGGTATGAATCTAATGCATTTCAAGTTATGCACTTATTCCTAAAATAAAAGTGTTTTTTTCCAATAATTCATTATCATCAATCTTCAAAAATATTTGCAGTGCAAACACAGAACTAATTGCATACCTGATAACTTATGGTCTTAGTGCGGCTGCAAGGTTAGTTGATTGGAAATATATATTCTCCTTTTCTTGCATTGTTGTGTGTTCTTCTGAATCTGCATTCTAGTAAAATTGTTGAGAAGTAGATGTTTGATTTTGGTAGCACAAGGGTTTCCAATGAATTGGGAGCAGGTCACCCGGATCGAGCTAAGAATGCAATGAGTGTCACTCTCAAGCTCTCTCTCCTCCTTGGTTTGTGTTTTGTTTTGGCACTTGCATTTGGTCATAATATCTGGATTCAGCTGTTTACTAGTAGTTCTGCTATCAAAGAGGAGTTTGCTTCAGTGGCACCCTTTCTTGCAATTTCCATACTACTAGATTCTGTTCAAGGTGTCTTGTCAGGTTTGAATTTCAGATTTTCCTTTAACCTGTGATGTCTCTACAACTTGATCATTAACTAAAAATTCTTAGGGAGGAAAATGTCTTTAATATTGCAGGGGTGGCCAGAGGATGTGGTTGGCAGCACTTGGCTGCTTTTGTCAACCTTGCAGCTTTTTATCTTATTGGTTTACCAATATCATGTCTCCTTGCATTTAAGACCAATTTGCTGTATAAGGTATAATATTTATTGCACAATGTGGTTATGCATGTTGTGATGCCAATAAGAATCATCTTGATTATGACAAGCAATAAAAACCTTTTGCATTCATTAGTTTAATCATTATGTTTCTTTTGAATTTGCTTTATGATATAGGGTTTGTGGATTGGTCTGATTTGTGGACTGGTGTGTCAAACTGGGGCTCTCTTACTTTTGACAAGGCGTGCCAAATGGACTAAAGTGAATCTCTCCAGGGATAAAGATGAAGTCCAACCACTTCTTATTTAACTGATTGCCTGCTAAACTGGGTCAATAAAAGTAGTACATGGAGTATACTGCATTTCCATATGGAAAATTGATCAAAACATGTCATGAAATTTCTAAAATATTGGTGCTTATATTCATTATAATAAGGGAAAAGATATTTGTAGAAACTATATGAGATATATGTATAATTTGAACAGGATAAGTTAGTAGGATCATGGTATTATTTAATGGCTTGCATTAGAATATGCGAGAAGAGTGAAAGTTTATAATTATAGGAAAAATGTTTCCTCTATATTAATATCCTGCTCCTGATCTATCTTTAGTTAAATGAGTTGGAGGATTTGGAGAGTAGGGGTGATATTGAGTTGAGATAACCATGTAACTCCACTTGGTCGAAGGAAGAATATCACGTGTGATATTGTTCATGAAATTATCAACAATGTAAACTATTGGATTTTACAAAGGGTAGCTTATAACTTATTTTATTATTTTTGGATCAAACAATAATGAAAATAGTTGTAAGAAAAAAAGCGATGGTAAGTATAACATTGCTCTTTATTAATAATTCAAGTAATATGATAGAGCTAGGTGCATGACTACATTGATCTAAAAAGGGAACTAAAGAAAGAATCAAAATCTTGTTTGTCCAATGAAAAATGCAAATAATATCAATGAACAAGAGGAGCAAGAGAAAACAGAATGGTTTCAACGTTAGTAATACTCAAACTGTTAAAGGTGTGAGGTCACACAGGACCATGAAGCAAAGAACGGTGTGAATCCTATTAATAAAGTAGAGCAATATTTAGAAAGAACAATAAAACCACAAATTCATCTTTCAATTTTTAATCCAAAAATAGACACTTCCATTAGCGTGATTGATGACTATATAAGGTTCTAATAATGAAAAGCCAAGCACACCACACATATTATGGTTGTTTCCATTGGTGTAATTAAGAAGCAAACCTTGACATAATGAAAATGTCTTCTAACAAAGTTGCATCAATCCTCTTTGTTGTTGTGATAGTCACCTTAAGATACCCTCAGGTTGGACACGCTTTTAAAGAGGCAGCACAAGCTGAAGTATACATTCAAGCCACCACATTTGCTCAGGCTGAACACGCACAACTGCATGGAGAACCCCTGAATGATGGATCATCTAGACATTGTTATGGAAAGTGCACTGCAGGATGTGTCAACCCTTTTCCCACTAACCCGGAACTCAAGGGCCTCTGTGCCAAGAGGTGCAAAGCTCAGTGCCAAATTTGAAAGGCATCAAGGGTAATATGATATAGATTTTTTTAGTTGGGTGCATTGTTTGTCCTCTAAGAGGATATAAGATTTTCTCCTATCACCTCCTTATAACTATGTATTCTAGGGAATACAAAGTTATAATATTAAAGTTTTTTTTTTTCTCTTCATAAACTTTTTATAAATTTGCTGGCTGATGTGAAGAGAATTTTTTTTTGTAATATTATAATTATGTACTTTCTGAAGTACATAGTTATAAGGGGTAACAGGACAAAATCTTATATACTATGACAGGACATCTAATGAACCCTTTTTAGTTTTAACCTTGTTATTTTTCTTTCTTGAGAATATTAGTTGATAATATTATATATGTATTAGTTTGCTTCATGTAGTATCTATTTATATCTGATGAATCATTTAGATTTTTATTTATTTTTTAACCCAAGTTCAAGAATAATTTATGGGGAAAAGTTCAAATATCCTTATGTGGTTTGTCTTTTAATCATTTATCCTTTATGGCTTCTTTTTTTTTATCATTTACTTCCCTATATTGTTTTTCATCCAAGTCTCTCGTTAATACTGTTAGAGTTTTTAATTAATATGATTCTTCTACCCTTACAAAAATACACTTCACTTTGTAATAATGAGTTGGAGGTGCAGAGGATTTACTGCAGAAGAATGCCATAATTGGAGGTGCAGTAACAGGGCTCTGGTATCTGCATGCAGTGACAATAAGAAAGACAGGATTGCCATAGACCCCATTAAACGAGCAGCAGTTGCTACTGCTCAAGAATTTATAAATTACCTTACCTAAATGAATTAAAATGGATGTCTTCAGCGATAAGTTATGCATTTGATTTGCACCCATTTGTCTTCATGTTTTTGTACAGGCTAGATTGGTTGTTAACGAATCCATGTTTGCAATATACAAATATCATTGAATTGAATTGCTCTATAGATTTCTGTACTACAGTATAAAAGAATTCTTCTTCATTGATTTCAGTATCCTCCTTAATGAGGTATTTATACAAGTAAGTATAACAAACTACTCAACAATAATAGGAAAATTTTTAATCTTATCTATACATTTAAACAACTCTTAACACTAATTTAAATGAAAAACAAACTCTGTATTCAAAAAAAAAAAAAAAAAATGAAAAACAAACTCTTTCAACACTCCCCCTCAAGTTGGCACATGTATGTCAATCATGCCCAACTTGTTAGTCATTTCTTTAAAAACTCTTCCGGATACAGCTTTAGTTAACATATCTGCAACTTGTTCCTCTGACCGTACATGAGGGGTCTGAATGATTTTTCCATCTAGCTTCTCTTTAATAAAATGCCTATCAATCTCAACATGTTTTGTCCTATCATGTTGCACTGGATTATGAGCAATATCTATTGCAGCTTTATTATCACAAAATAAATTCATAGGCTCCTCATATCTGATCTCTAAATCAGTAAGAATACTTTTAATCCACAACAGTTCACAAATGCCATGAGTCATTCCTCTGTATTCAGCCTCAGCACTAGATCTTGCTACCACCTTTTGTTTCTTGCTTCTCCAAGTGACTAAGTTGCCTTCTACAAAGGTGAAGTAGCCAGAGGTTGATTGTCTAGTTGTTATATCTCCTACCCAATCAGAGTCAGAGTATCCTTTTATGCCAGCTTCATCATTCTTAGAGTACAAGAGACCTTTTCCTGGTGATCCTTTCAGGTATCTAAGGATACGATACACTGCATTCATATGTTCCTCACTAGGACAATGCATAAATCTACTCACCACACTAACAGCATAAGCTATATCAGGTCTGGTGTGTGACAAATAAATCAATCTTCCCACTAACCTCTAATATCTGTTCTTGTCTGTTTCAATTTGATCTGGATACATAGCAAGTGAATGATTCATCTCAATTGGAGAGTTGGCTTACATGCCATCAAACCAGTTTCTGCTAGAAGATCCAAGATATACTTTCTTTGAGATAAAAAAATGCCTTTTTTTGATCTTGCAATTTCTATCCCAAGAAAATATTTTAATTCGCCTAGGTCCTTCATTTCAAATTCAGAGGCTAACTTCCTTTCAAGTGACTTCATTTCTTCCGCATCATCTCCTGTTAGCACCATATCATCCACATAGACAATGAGTATGGATATTTTGCCATTGTTATGCTTTACGAACAATGTATGATATGAGTTGCTTTGTTTGTAGCCAAACTTTTTCATTGCCACTGTAAGTCTTCCGAACCATGCTCTTAGTGACTGTTTAAGGCCATTTAAGGCCTTCTTCAATTTGCACACTGAATTTCCTTGTGAAGCTGCTAGCTTTACTCCTGGTGGTATCTCCATGTATACCTCTTCTTCTAAATCTCCATTCAAGAAGGCATTTTTTACGTCAAATTGTTTTAGAGGCCAGTCCCTGTTGGCTGCTATAGATATAAGAATTCTGATTGTGTTGAGTTTGGCCACCGGAGCAAATGTATCTTGATAATCCACTCCATACTTCTGTGTATATCCTTTTTCCACGAGTTTTGCTTTGTATCTATCAATGCTTCCATCTGCTTTGAGCTTTACAGTATACACCCATTGGAATCCAACTTTCCTCTTTCCATCTGGCAAGGAAGTTAATTCCCATGTTTCATTTTTTTGAAGTACCTCCATTTCAGTGTTCATGGCTTGCTTCCATTTAGGATCTTCTAATGCTTCCTGCACACTATTCGGAATAGATATAGTGGATAATTGATTGAGAGTTAGAGCATATGATTCGGATAGCTTGTGAGAGGATACATAATTACTTATGGGGTATTTTACTTTTGCTTTCGGATCTTCTTCATAAAAGGGTTTTGGTATCCCTATTGTTGATCGTTCGGACCTTCTGATTTGTGGAGATGGAATATTAGAAGAAGTAGGGGTTAAAGATTCAGGTGTTACCTCATTTTCAGGAAGTACTTCAGGTCTGTCCTCATCAGTTGATTCGGCTATGTGTGGTGGACTTGGCATCTCATTTGATGGAGGAGAATCTGTACTGGAAGATATTGTTTCAGCAGGTTCAGAGGTGGGGTCTTGAGAGGGATTTTCATTTGTGGGACTGTTTATGGGAATAGATGAGGCTGGATTAGGAGTCAACTGGATTTCTGCTTCTCCAATATGGTGAATCTCCCCATGGGAAGGAGAAGAAGTGACTCCCCCTGAATAGTAAGCCTCGGTTTCATGGAAGGAGACTTCGAGAGTAACATGCATTTTATGAGTTTTTGGATCATAGCAACGGTATCCTTTATGGAGATCCGAATAACCTACAAAAATGCATTTGCGGGCACAAAGGTCAAGTTTATTTCGTAGGGGTTCGGGAATGTGGACATAAGTGGTACATCCAAATATTCTAGGCTCAAGATTCAGAGTGTGGGGAATGGAAAAGAAGGTCTCAAGTTTCTGTTGAGGGGTGAGAAAATTCAAAGCACTAGAGGGGGTTCGGTTTACAATATACGCAGCAAAAAGGACAGCCTCACCCAAATAGGAAGAAGGTACGTTCATATCAAAGAGAGAGGCCCGGACTATTTCCAATAGCTATCTATTTTTACGCTCCGCTAATCCATTTTGTTGCGGTGTGTAGACACAGGAGGTTTGGTGTTTTATACCATTAGATTGCAGGAATTCAGAGAAGACACCATTTTTGTATTCAAGGCCATTATCGAATTGGAGGACTTGAATGGAGCTATTGAATTGGGTGTGGATCATGTGAAAGAATTTTTTAAAGGCAGGAAAGACTTCGTTTTTATTTTTTAATAAAGAGATCCACACCATTCTTGTACATTCATCAATAAACGATACATAATAATACGAGTGAGAGAAAGATGTGACCTTGGCAGGTCCCCACACATCAGAATGCACAACTTGAAAGGGAATGCTACTTTTATTCAAACTTGGGTAAAAAGGAATTCTATGGCTTTTAGCCATTTCACAAACAGAACATTGAAATTCAGAAGAATTGAAATTGGGAAATAAACTAGGAAGCAATTTTCTAAGATAACTAAATGAAAGGTGACCAAGTCTGCGATGCCAAAGCCAAGCAACAGAGGAAGGTGAAGAACCTGGAGTCGTAGAGGCAGAGGCTCGGCCACAGGGAACAGAGTCATCATCTGGGAGTTCCAAGTAGTAGAGATTGCCACGCCTAACACCATAGGCAAGAATCGTCTGATTTTGGACGTCCTGAAAAATACAAAATATGGACCAGAAAATTACATTGCAATTATGATGAGTGGTACTGACAGAGAGTAAATTATAATTTAAAGAGGGAACAACAAGAACTGGGGAAAGGGTGATAGTAGGAGTCAGAACAACAATACCCTGACCCGTAACAGGAGCAGAACCACCATTAGCAGTAGTGATGGTTGAGGTAGTGCAAGGAGAGCAATTTTTTAAGGAAGAAGCATCTCGAATCATATGATCATACGCTCCAGTGTAATTATCCATGAAGAATCCCGAGTGTGAGCAGAAAAAGTAAGAGAATTACCTAGTATGCCTTCATACACAACATGAGCACGAGGATTGGGAGAGGGTTCACCATCGGTAGAGGACTGGAGAGCTTTCGATGTTACCTTCCTTCGAGGACGCTTGGTGAAATCCCACCATTCAGGATATCCCACGATTTCATAGCATCTGGTCTTTGTATGGCCTGATTCTCCACAGTGGGTGCATGCAAGAGTTTTTCCAGAGGGGCCTTCCTTACGGCTCTTTGGAGGGATTGTCACCACAGAGGGGCGAGGGACTTGGGATAGCAGAGCAGAAGAGTCGGCGGTGGGTGGAGGACGACCCATAGTGATGCGTTGTTGGTGTTCCCGACGGACGTAAGCATACGAACTCTCGAGGTCCAATTTGGGGTCTTTACGGAGGATTTCTCCTCGAACTTGTTCAAATTCGGAGTCCAATCCACTCAGGAACAAATGGGCGCGCATGCGAGACATAAAGGAGTGTGTTTCGACCACACCATTCAAGGTGGTAGCAGAGGAAGTCAGACGGTGATCAATCTCCTGAAAGATTGAGAGAAGCTCATTATAGTAGGTGGGAAGTGGGCGACCGTTTTGCTTGGTGGAGAATGATCTCTGGTTGAGTTGAAAGAGGCAAGTTTCATCAGAACCATCGTAAAAGGTTCTGAGGGTAGCGTTCCAGATTTCATATGCGGATTCGAGGCGGATGAATCTTTGCATCAGCGGAGGGGTCATGGAATCGATTAACCAAATCTTCACCCGTTTGTTATCTGTGATCCAAGCGTCATACAAGAGATCAGAAGGGACAGGTTTCGTTGCCGCACCAGTGAGGAAGCTCGATTTGTTCCGTGCGTCAATCCTCATCTCCATTAGTTGAGACCAAAGAGGATAATTACTGTCG